TATTATACAAATTATTAAGGTGGTATTCATCTAATGTCTTAATATTTTTAATTTCTGTTTAAATATTATAAATATCTATGAACGATTGAAATAAACACATGATTATAACACGAAGAGGAGAATACATAAGAAAATTATATTAGTTTTTTTAACAATTCAAACGTATTCAAGAGAAAAAACGATTGAAAACAGATGTGTTTTGATAAGAAACGCTCGAACTAATACATTTTTTCTACATTATACACTTGACGACCAACATTTTTTATTTTATACATTTAACTGGCATGAAAGGTGAGAGCAAAGACCGCTTTTAAGAATTGTGTAATAGGAATTATTAATTTAAATTTTCAAGAAAAATGTTAACTTTACAATTAATATATATTTGTAGTAATTTATTCGAAAATATTTGAAAAATTAAAAATAAAGCATTCAAAAATATTCGTATAATTATGTATAGTAAAACTCAAACTAAATTGAACAGCCTTTTGAACAAAGTTATTGAATATATATTTTATTAAAAGATACCTAATATTATTCCAGGCCTCAACAAATAATATCCCAATCACGTTATTGGTAAGATAACGATTTTATTATAAATAAATAAACAAGGGTTTATAACTGATTCAATTATGAATGTATATTTGTGTTGTAATATAAAAAATTTAAAAGTAGAAATGTATAAGTATACTACCATGGGCGTACTTGGAATTTTATGGAGGCAAATATATAGTTATAAATTGACAAGTCTATATAGTTAACCTTACATTACTTAACTTGTAAATATATGTTAACATTACCTTTTGTTTTATATTAGTGTAAGGTGATCAATATTACTATGTAATAAAATTAATTAAACTTAATAAATAAACTTAAAAACATTAGAAACATTTTTAATATTTTATAACTTCTAAAGAAAATCACCGCTTAACTACTTTTATTATTATATAAAATTATTCATTATTCAATATCTAACATTATGTTAGGTAAGCTAAAATTGAAAATTAAGATTTAAAAAAAAAAAAACTATGTAGTAATATTTATAATCAGCTGTTTTGTACTAAAACAAGGTATTTAAATATTTATATATGTTAAATATCAGAGGGGTCTGCCCCACCTAATTTATTCATGGGGAGGGGGCAAGGGCCTCCTCAATTCACGCATATGTAAACTATTGTGTATCATATTATATCTGAGTAACAAATAAAACGCCTGTCGTAAGTGATGAAATAAAAACAACATTGCTGTATACTTAGTTGCCTATAAATTTTATTTATGAGACATCATGAATGTCATTATGTATAATATACATAATAATATATTTATAATTGTTACAATCAGGGTCTGTCTTAGCTCCTTCAGCACCCAATGCAAGAGTTATTTTAGCGTCCCTTCCTCTTAAACTACCTAAACATTTAACTTAAACAGACAGAATTTGAGGAGCTAGAGATGCCCATTCAAAATGCTCAAAGTAATTTTTCAAATTATCATACTTGCCACATATTTATAAATCATACACAGAAAATCAGCCACTACTCGCATGTTGATATAATAATAAATAGTAATAATAATAATAATGATAAAATTAATTTATATTAAATCACATTGAGAAAATTATTATTCTTTCTGCCTTTAGTAGATAATTTACGTCACCAACGTTTCATCAAATTTTTTTATAATTTTAACGCCTCTCACGCATTCTTTTGATTTAAGCATTCTGTGCTATCGCACATGCTGGTCGTATCTAAAACCCTGATGATAATTATATTATATTTCTATATTATAGAGGCTTATTTAGAAGATTCACAACAAGTCGATTTTTTTTATGAGGATGGGTTGTTAGCCCGTCACTCAATCCCCAACCTGGAGGAGCAGACTACCAAAACCAATTAAAGTCAGGGCAGGACTACTGCAGAGTAGTAGAAAACGCAAAAGGCCTGAATGGCCCATAAAGCAAAAAAAAAAAAATTATAGAAATTTTGTTATATAGACAAAAAAACTACTTATTACAAAATTTGATAGAGTAAAGAATATAGACTGTAGTCTAATTCAATGTTTTGAGTAATGATAAGTTAAAAACAAAAGTTTTGAAATTATGTATACTTTTAAAATAATATTCTATATTAAATGAATAAAATGTACTTACCATTCAAGATGAAAATCACTACTTTGTAGATTAAAATTGAAAATATTATTTTGATAAAACTCATAAGTATAAATATTATAACATGAAAAATCAAAATACTAAATTTTATTACTCTTTAAATAAACATAATAATGGTAACTTTTAGAAGAATGTTTTTTCTTACTTATATTGAATATTTTGTACGGAATTTTATACGTATTGATATGTTATATATACATAAAAATACCACTAACATTACTAATATTTTGCTGTGGTATAATATTTGATACACAACTCTTACTACTAGTCAGCGTCATAGTAGTAGCAGCCATAAGGTATAAATAACACTTTTACTCCATTTATACATCCTTATGAGTCACAGACTCATAAATTATCAATTCACTATATAATGAGTCAGTGTTGTTTAAATGTATATTTATGGTTTTTAATTTGGAAGAACGAAAAACCGGAAAGACCTATTTTATAAATTGAATACCATATTTAAGTCATATCAACCCTATTAGTTTCCACTTGTAAATAAACAATCTCATCTATGTTCTTAACTACTACAACGATTTGGTTAGGTAGGTAACGTAAACAATTTGTTTTCGGTTTTAAGCATATAATGCAAGTTAACAAATAACATCAGTACAATCAAAGCACGTGAAAAATATTACTAGATTACGTTAAAGATTTAATACATGTAATTTATTAAAATAAAATATTATTTTTATAACAAGTAAAGTATAACTTTTAACTAATCATAGATTTCTAAATGAAATATTATATACGTAAAATTATAAAAAACGTTAAAACATTAATTAAATGTAAATAACAATAAATGTAAACTTTGTTTGTGACTTAATGAGTTAAAGTGTTAAATGTCCAGGATATTATACGGTTATATGGTTCAATAGCACCGTATGTTTTTGTACATGACCTTATAGTTTTTCAATACATAAAAATCCTAATTTGTTCACAATGATATAGTACAGGGATGGCAAATCCATAGCACGCGAATATAAATAATTAACAAAGCAATATTATTATATTTATTATTATTATTTATTATATATTATTATTATTATGTACATAAACAAACCTTTTTGTACTAATACATTATTTATACAATCAAATTATAATATAACAAAATATAATATTTTTAATATTTTTTTTTCATGCCACGCATAAAAAAGAAAAAGTAATTTTGAGCACGCAGTGTTCAAATGGTTTGCCATCCCTGATATAGTATATTAGTTTTATAATTTTATAATAATTAGTTATCTATAAAGATCAAACATGAAATTATTTTTTTATATAATAGTGTAATTACTATAATTATTACTATTGAGCTTGTAAGAACATGAAAAAAGTTTTAACGTATATTATAAAAATAGGTTACACGTCTTTTGTATCAGTCCACAATATTGGTTTATATCTATAAAATACTTATATGTATAATGTAATTTATTATTACTCGATATTTTTAAATAACAACATTTAAACGCTCTTCCGTGTCGACTGAATATCAACCGGAAAATCATTTAGCAGTTATTAGTAACATATTGTAAATGTTACATAGTCATAAACATTTTTCAATTTAGTAACTTACACTTCACAAATTTTTTTTTTCCAATACGTCCGATTGAAGTAATTACTGTGTGAGATACTAAGTGATAAATACCTTCTTGAATTACGTTGGAAGCAATTATATAAGGAATAAAATAATAATCTAAATTAAAATGTAATATGATCTAGAAACAAAATAATTAGTAACTGATGAATTGTATTATAAATTATGGAAACACACGCCATTGCTTAAACAATTAAGTTCCAACATTTAAATAATATATAACACAACCAACTAAGATATTGAGTAATACTCTAATAGTAAAAAAAATCAATAAATCACTGCAATGAAATTCCACCAAAGTAAACTAATACATTATATGCTAATAATTAAATTACAAATCTAAAAAAAATAATAATTGTTGATTAAATATTATTTATATTTGGTATAAAAACATGATGACTGTATTAGTAAGCGAGTACCTACTGCATTAAAATTGTGAACCAAAAAAAATATTATTGTTAAATACTTTAACAAACAAATATGGAACAAAAACAAGATTTAAATAAAAAAATTAAATATTATAATAAAATTAAATATAGTTTAAATACGGTATAATAAATTTGTTTTATACTTTCTTTGTGAAAATAATACCAATAATATTACTAAATTATATATCATATTGTGCGTTTATCTTGTCTTATATATATAGACAGAGGCGGATTTACGCATAGGCAACCTAGGCACGTGCCTAGGGCGCAATATGTTTCGGGGGCGCCGCAGATTTTTAATATATTGTATTTCTAATTTTTTTAATAATTTATAATATATAATAATAAATTATAGTTTAACAATCTATGTTTTATATGGGCTTAGCCATAGATAAAACCGTTCAGACAAACGACAAAAAAAACCCGGTGTGGCAAGGACGCAAGGTCCAAAAGTATTTACGTTATAATTATTAATAGAAATTCCTGGAATAATAATATTGTGAATGTAGCCTGTAGGTATGCACATCAAATATAAGAATATAATTCTAGAAATCAAATGTTACGTTTTTGACAATAATAAGAATAATAAATAATAATAGCCACCGCTACGATCGCGACGCCGTCGACGCCGCGCCGTGACATTTACTCAGATAAGAGAAAACCGATTACTATAAAATACTAATATACCTATTACCTACGTACTTAAATGAGTTATTTACATTATTACATAACCGATTATTTTTGAAATTGTGAATTTTGTGGCAATTGATTGGCAATTGGTTTATCAACCATCGTGCGTACATTTTAAACATCAAAGATGTCAAGTAAAAAAAGTGGTCATCAATTTAAAAAAATACAACAAGCAAAGTTTGCCAAACATCAAGATATGATAAATAAAACTAGAAAACTTAATGGGATTTTATGCAACGTATGTATAAATTACAAAAACCCTCTTCTCTTAATTTGTATACTTAATAATAAGTGATCTTTAATTATTAGTTATTTCTTATTAATTATTACTATTAATTTTTTTCACTCTTCTCTATTATAAACATTGTAACTTATAATTTTATTAGAATATAGTTCACAAAAGTATTGAGCAGTCTAAAACTGATAACGAAGATGAAAAAAATTTGGTTGAAGACAGTTCTAACTTGATTACTATGACATCATCAGTATCCAAGGATTCCAAGTTATGTGCAAAAAAATTAATGCGCGGGCGATGCCACCGCGGGTAACCAAATTTTGAATGAAAAACTATTATTTAATGTATAAACCCACCCAAAAAATTTATATCCTGGCTACGTGCCTGATCGGCGTTCATAATAATTTCGAGACGGCAGTGGATACTATAATAATGACTTTCAGAATGAATTAATTTAGGTGCATTATTTAACAGAGGCTATGTATAAATTAAATATTAATAATAATGTGAGTAGGTCATATGATCCAAAAATAACTTATTATAAACAAATAAAGGAGCTTCCACCTTTACCCGTGACGGTTTTTATTACTAAATTTATTACAACAAAAATATAAAATGTTTAGGTTGATTCATGTGATGTACGAGTAAATGCCAATGAAATAAATAAATATAATTGTAACAGTTTGATGAAAGTACAAGATGAGAATTTAATAGAAGAAGTTATGCATTTTCCAAAAGATCCAGCAGATTGGTCACGTACTGCGAGTTTTATACAATTTTGCGCAGTACATGGGATAGATCAAAATAACAATGACGATTTTATTGAATCAAAAAATCAATATTCATTAGATAATGTAAGATATTGTAATAAATCCATGTTTTTTTCAAAATTACCAAATGGTGAACAAACTCCACGTTCATGGCTTGTTTACTCTCGTAAATTAGGAAAAGTTTTCTGCGCACCGTGTTGGCTATTTAAAAATGAATTTTCCAATTTAGCTAATTGTGGATTTAATGATTGGAAAAATGCGCATATACGTTTTAAAGAACATGAAGGGTCGTTAAATCACAAAACATGTTTACTAAAATTGAATCATTTAGGACAAGAACAAGGAAGAATAGACTCTAAGTTATTTATTCAAATTGACCATGAAAAAATGTATTGGAGAAAAGTTTTAGAGAGAGTAGTATCTGTAATTAAAACGTTAGCTTCACGTGGACTACCATTCAGAGGACAAGAAGAAATTTTTGGATCACCTAAAAATGGAAATTACATGATGCTTCCTGAATTGTTATCCGAATTTGACCCTTTCTTAGCTCAACACATTTCGAAATATGGTCATTCTGGTAGTGGTTCTACTTCATATCTATCATCAACAATTTGTGAAGAAATTATTAATTTAATGGTCAAAAAAGTTAAAGAAGTAATCATAAATGAGATTAAAAAACGTAAATATTACTCAATAGTTATTGACTCTACGCCTGATATAACACATTCTGACCAACTTGCTTTTATACTTCGCTATATCAGCAATGAAGGTGTACCGATCGAACGATTTTTAGAATTCATACCAAAAGTTGGACATAAATCTTTGGAAATAGCCGAAACAGTCATTAAGACAATCGAAAATTTAAAATTAAATATATCAGATTTTCGTGGACAATCATACGACACAGCAAAAAATATGTCAGGTTGTTATAATGGCCTTCAAGCTAGGATGAAAAATATAAATTCTTTGGCATTTTGTATTCCATGCGCAGCTCATTCACTTAATCTTGTTGGTACGCATGGAGTTGAATGTTGTAATGAAGCAGCTACATTTTTTGGACTAATGCAAAACATCTATGTATTTTTTTCAAGCAGTAGTCATAGATGGGATATCCTCAATAATATGGAGTCGAAATCACATACATTAAAAGCACTTTCGAATACGAGATGGTCATTAAGAGATTCTGCTTGCCTGAGTTTAAATGAAAATTGGTCTGCTGTTGTAGCTACATTAACTTATATAATGGATGATCACACTGAAAATAATATTACTAGAAATGAGGCAAAAGGACTAATAAATAAAATGAGTTCATTAGAAACTACAACTATGTCAGTTGTGTGGGTTTTTTTACTTAGTCGATTAAACACTACGAGTAAGAAGTTACAAAATGTTGATATTGATTGTTTGGACGTTTTTAAATTATATGATAGTTTAATTAAATTAATAGAGCACACTCGTAAAAATTTTGATGATTTTGAAACAGAAGCATTAGCAAAAGCAGTTAATAAAGATTACAAAATAAATACTACAAGAAAAAAAAAAAGAACGATTTTTCACGACGAATCTGAATCTGAAGAATAGATTTATCGGCACGAGACAATTTTAAAATACATACATTTTTTCCTATCATAAATAAATTGCTTCGAGAATTAGAAACTAGACGACATGCATATGATATTTTCTGTAAACCATTTATATTTTTAACACGCTTAAGGAATTAGACAATCAAGAAATCAGAAAATCAGTTAAATTCCTGCAAAACATTTATATAAATGATGTAGAATTTAACGACTTTATAAATGAAGTTTTACATTTAAAAGCTCACATCAATTTAAGTTCTATCGGAGAAAAACACAATCTGCTTAGACTTCAAAAATTTCTATATGAAAAAGACCTAACAAATATTTACCCAAACATAGAAATAGTACTACGTATTTTTACCTCCACAGCTGTCACAAATTGCTCAGCAGAAAGATCGTTTTCATGCTTAAAAAGAGTAAAAAATTACTTACGTTCCACCCTGACCCAACAAAAGTTGAATTCACTTGCGATTCTCAATATTGAAAATCAAATAACTCGTCAGTTATCATATGATGAAATCATAGATAATTTTGCTAAAGATAAATCAAGACGCAAAATGATTTAATTATACACCAATTTAATCATATTACTTACTGACTTATTATTTTATAATTGTTTTAATTGGTATGTGTATCAATATACAAAATACAATTGTTATAAAGTTACAGTTTTTATTTTATTGGTTATTAAAATATTTTGTGAAAAATAAAAGATAAGTGTTTGAATGTGATTATATCAATGTATTTTTATTTTTTGTGGGTTACGAGGCGCCAGTCTTAGAATCCGTCTAGGGACGGAAAAATGGTAAGTCCGCCCCTGTATATAGACTTTATTTGTTTAAAGTAAATATTTTTATTTAATCTTTCATAAATCGAAAAATAAAATAAAAATGATTATTGTAGTTTATATCATTTTCAGTTTTAATTACTTTAACTAAATATAATTATAAGAAGAGCCTTTTTAAGGATTTTTAGGGTATGGCAAAAATAAATTTGGGGTCTTTCAATCATCACAATAATATACGAGTATGAAAAAAAAAACCCAACAAGCTTGTAAAATATTGGTAAATATAGGTTTTTAATAGTATTTTTAAAACTGTATAAATTTTTAAATTTAATTATTGTGAACTTTAAATTAAAAAAATGAGAAACATTTATGTTTGTCTTTATATAATCAAATAAGTTTGTATAAAACAATTAACACATTAATTGTAGACATAACGTAATCAATAACTAATATTCGTCTAACTAAACTTCCACTTTTAACACTGTTATAAAATTAAACAATAATGTTTAAACTTCAAAGTGTTAACACAAAAATATAATTCATCCACTAAACAAAAATTTAAAACTAAAATGTGAATCAAAATGTTTACAAAACTTCTTTATTGTTAATTATAGACTGACTTTAAATTTGTATACAACCACTTCACAGTCCTAATCATTTATTTTATTGTAAGTTTATCCTAACTTTGTTATTTTGTTAAGAATTAGTTAAAAATCTTATAAGAGTTAATTGCAGATTTCATACAGTTGTAATTGAAAAAGTTAATAGATCTTAAAAAATTTAATAATTACCCAATAATTTCCTTCGAAAAGTTTGGGTATTAATTATCAGCAACTATAAAAAGGATTCCATTGTAACGATCTTTGACTTGTCACTTGATATACAAATAATTAAACAAATAGCTTATGTATGGAAATATATTGTATTATAGTATTATATTATGTAATAATATTCCAGACTAAGCATTTAATTATTTATTTATTCATATATTAATTTATGAGTATTAATCATGTTATTTTTTTATTTTTAAAAAAATTAAAGGTCTTAAGTTATAAATTATTGATATATTATAATATTTACTATGGAAAAATATCTTAACGCAGTGCTTTCCAAACTTTTTCGACTCATTTTTTGATCTAAGGTTTTTTTGGGCGGCCTTCTCCAAGTCATAGCATGACTAATCATATGGAAAATTGTATACCAGATAGTACTCGAATTTTATGACGGCGCGGCGCACTGTATAGACCACTATATAAACATCGCGGCACACACTTTGGGAACCGTTTAATAATAAACGTAATGAATATATAGTACCATAATCAGCGACTATTGTACCTAGAATAAGACATTGAGATAATATATTATTATTTTTAGACTTATAAAAATATTTTCAAAATTGTTTATGATATTTCTTTATTGAAAATTACACATTATTTTTGTAATTTTTGTAATCTAATTTAGTGAGTCTCTTGTATTTAGCTCTTAGGTGGTATAAATTAAATAGTTTGAGATTTTTTGTATTTTTATATGCAAAGTGGGCAGTTTTTCTTTTAACAAAGATTTTAGTATTTTTGAGTACCAAATAGGAAAAGTGTTATTATTTATTTATTATTTTTGTTGGAACAAAGTGTACATGGGCGTAGCTTGGTATTATTATCTGTGGGGACTATAGGACTAGAAAAATGTATTCCAAAAACTACTTATTTTTATTTTGAATTAAAGCGAAAGAGAACATTTCCTAGGAAAAACAAAAAACAATTTGTAGGTGTCTCATTCTTTACCTGGCATTTTATTTTACAATACATAAAAAAAAAATGAATTTTGAGTTATTAAATTACACTTATTTTTTTTTTAAATAATTAATAAAATATCTTCTTTCAACAGTTAATTATGTTTTTTCAAAATACTATCAATTAAGCAACAAGACATTGTTACTGGGCGACATTTGTGTCGCCTAGTTAACACGTTTAAAAAATGCACTGAATAAATATATAAACATTTGTGATAACTGATAACTTTGGTACGGGGCAAAATTGTAATATAAATTAATTAAGGAAAAACTAATACAAAAACTTTCAAAACATCGATAAAATATTGATGTTTTCTTGGATATATCAAAGACTAAACATCGATGTATCGAACATAAACCTTGATGTTTTTAAAACTTGAACAACAGCTCGAAATGAGATAAGTTTTAATTTTTTACTTTTTGATGTAATATTTAGATAGAATAAAATTAGTTATTCGCACTGAAAAAGTTATTTATATAGGAATTTTTTTTTATACCATTTCTACACTATATTGGCTATTATTTATCATGTATTATGTTCTGATAATACGAATGCTTATTTGTATACAATTTTTTCAACAATGAAAAGTATTTTGGGGTAAGATGGCGTATTCGATTTGGGGTAAAAGTGTGCATTTCAGCATATGATGTTGACACCTACATAGTTATTATAAAATTCATATAAATTACAATTAGAGCATCTAAATATTCTAAATACTTGTGCATATTTTTAGAAACTATGTAAGTTATTACCTATTTATTTTATTTTATTTAGTTTTAAAATGCATGAACTGATATATTGATAATTTTTGTTTGGTTAGATCTACTACTGTAGTACCTATCTACTTGTTAAATTTGTTTATTTTGTTGTTTTTGTTATACTATGATTAAACAAAGTTCAATAAATTGTTTAATAGTTTTTATTTGTGTTGTTATGTTTTAACATGTTATAATTTTTAATATAAATATAACTATATAATATGTCTTAAAAAGTCTTAACTTATTATTAATTTTATAAGCAAATAAGTATTTGCTTATTTAAAGCAAATTGGTAATAACAATAATTTATTATAATATAATAAATTATAATGATTACAATTGGTAAAATATATAATCAAGAATTTATTTTCCGTAACATGATTAATTTAAAATAAAGACTTTTGCTTACGCCATTTTACCCCACCATGTGCGCAATCTTACCCCAGTGTCGGGGTAAGATTGCGCGTATGACTTATGTTAAGTTTTCTATGTTTTAAAACTAATCTATTCAAAATATTAAAGCTTTCATTGAAAAAATGAATATTTGCTATACAAAAATAACTTTTTTTAGTACCAAAAATATAATACTATTTTATTTAAACACATTTTTTAAAAAAGTGCGTCATCTTACCCCAAGTTACTCTAATGTTTTATTGTCAGGCTTTAACTTTTACTCGTATTAAATATACTGAACATTTAAAAAAAAAAAAAAAAGAAAAAAATAAAAAAAAAGGAAAAAAAGATATTAAAATGAATTAAAAATCTATGTAATAATATGCTTTATAGTAAAATATATATAAGACAAACCTGTGTGTGATTAGCAGTACACGAGCAAACAACAAAGACAGACCAGTCACCAATTTCGAGAAAAATACCGATAAATAAATAATTATTATGTGTATACATACAAATTATTATCCATTTTCGTTATAATTTTATCATCGGATGACTCGACAATGCATGGCCCGACGATCGCACAGAGTAAATCTAAAATTAATACGACGTTTATCTATAAATAAACATGTTTGTGATAAAAATAAGTAGTTTTATGTATGTTAGTACAATAATTGTCAATACATAATAGACGGCTAATTTAAAGCTTGAAGAAAAATTATAAAAACATTTAAAACTAGAATTTATTAATTTTAGATAAAATGAGGGGGCTACAGAAATGTCTATAGGGGCTACAGCCCCCACAGCCCCATGCATACTACGCCCATGAAAGTGGTTGATAGCATTGTATAATATTGTATAAAATTAATTAACTAGGTCATTCATATTAGGAATGCTAAATCAAGGTTAACGAGTACATCGACGATGTATTTTTTAATTTTAACATAATCACACTTTTTAAAATCATAGCATATACCATGATAGATTGGTGAAGTATTATAATGGTCATGATTTAACGACATATTTATTATTGAATGGTGTTTATCAGTAGATAATGATGGGTTTAGATCATTAGTAACAAAAACGTGAATATTTGATAAAATTACATTATTGCGTTTACTTATTAAATTGAATTGATTTATATTAAAATATAATAACATATTGATAAATTAAGATTCTAATTGCGAATTACAATTTAGCGATAGAGATTAAAGAGTCTAATTTAATGAGGGTAAGTTAAAATAACGCAATAGAATAATTTTTGCAATTGAAT